GGAGAGCTACAGGGGTAAATGAGTTACTCTGGCAGGAGACAGACCTGTGATGGGGTTTCCATTTCCAAGAGAGGCTGTACCGTGTGCTCGACATGATTCAGAGTTTAATAATAAAGGAAACGTTGATGTTGAGGTCTCTGGCGTTACGGGTTTTAAAAACTGCATTTTCTTTTAATTAGGAAACGTCTTTGTTTAACACGTCCGACGTAATCAGAGAGCTGCGCCTGGTTAGCAGGAAACTACAGTTGAAGTAAAAATCAGATTGGAGACTTTGTGGACATGTAATACGGATTAAACCTCAGCGGCTTCTTTTTGATTGCTGTGTAGTTTATAAAACAATCTGGCCCTTTCCTTTAAAAATCGGATTTAAATTCAATTTAGACGCGCAGAAACAAAACCTGTATGTATATATGTATCTAAAACACAAAGTGTCTATAGATGAGTTTTCCTTGGGTTCTGAGACCACCTCCCCCGTTTAAACTTCAAGTTCTTCACAAACCATTTTCAGCTTTAAAAGGTTACTTACCGCCAACGTGAAGAACAGACGGGTGACGCCATTTTTCTTTTAAGAGGGGAAAAACTAACCAGAAAGGAGAGCCCAGATAAAAAAAGTGTTGTTGTTCTGGAGTGAGAGCCGTGACCCGCTCTGTCTCTCTGCCTCTCTGGACCGGCCGCGGCGGTGCTGCTGGCAGGTCACGGTGACGAGGGGACAAACACAGCGCCGTGTCTGACTCCACAAGTCTGAGTCTCCGTGTCCGTCCTCGCAGAACCCGCTCTCGGTACATGTCAATGTGCTTTCGGTTTCAACATGCAGCAGTTCGACCACAGTTCGACCACACTGCCTCCTGTGGTTTACTGAAATAGAGAGGGTTCCCTCTCGTCACTCCTACAGCACGAATGAACACCTGCAAGAGACTGAGCACTGTCCCTCCCCCTCCAGTCACTCCTACAGCACGAATGAACACCTGCAAGAGACTGAGCACTGTCCCTCCCCCTCCAGTCACTCCTACAGCACGAATGAACACCTGCAAGCACTCCTACAGCACGGATGAACACCTGCAAGCACTGAGCACT